TTCAGAGGGTGTGATTCCCTGCTACTTAGCCGGTGGAATCTTCTACACAGCGGCCTAAGAGGTTTGTGCAAAAGAGGGGGCCGAAACAAATGATCTCAAAGGCCTTTTTCCCCCCTTCCCCTCTTTTGATAGGGTAGCTCCTTAGATCCAGGGCATATCTGCAGAGGCCTCATTTTTTTTTTTTTTTTTTTGGTCCTGTTTGTCCCAAACAGCTCAGCACGCCCCTCTCTCACACTCTGTGTACCCTGGGTCCCTTCCTTCTCCCCTAGCCTCCTGTGGCTGGTGGCTCCTGGGAGCAGGGTCTTTTTAGAGCCCAGCGTTAAGCTTTTTATTTTTTTTTATTTAAAAAAAATTTTTTTTTTCAACGTTTTTTTTTTTTTTTATTTATTTTTGGGACAGAGAGAGACAGAGCATGAACGGGGGAGGGGCAGAGAGAGAGGGAGACACAGAATCGGAAACAGGCTCCAGGCTCTGAGCCATCAGCCCAGAGCCCGACGCGGGGCTCGAACTCCCGGACCGCGAGATCGTGACCTGGCTGAAGTCGGACGCTTAACCGACTGCGCCATCCAGGCGCCCCCAGCGTTAAGCTTTTTAGGTCTGTTGGACGGGTCTACTCGCTGTGCTGGCCCCTTCCATCTACATCTTCTCCAGGGGGAATGAAAGGTGCCATCTCTCCGCTGCCAGGGTTTGGGTGACAGGTATTCTGGAGTTGGTGATTTCTCCATTTGAGGGCTTGGAGCTGGGGCATGGCTTGCAGTATGCTCAGAGCAGGAGGACAGCTTGGCCGTGCCCTAGAGCAACCAGATTTGTTTTCCGTTGAACCCTTGTTCCCAAAGTACCGCGAAAACCTGCTCCTCCTGTCCCAGAGCTCCTGCCCGCTCGGGGGCAGTGTCCCTCTTTGTCTGGACGCTCCTTTTGGTCTAAGGCTGTGCTGGTGGCCGTCCCAGAAGTTGTCCCGTCAGCACCTGTACTATCTCCCCCTGAGGAGCCAGGCTATCTCTGCTTGCGCCGCCCGAACCATCTGCCGTGGGAGCCCCAACTGGGCTGCCAGGGTTCACGGAGAGGTGGGAGGCCCAGATGGATGGGAGAGAAGTATCATCGTTAAGATTTCGCCACTGCCCAGGTGTGCCTGTGAGCTAGGCAGGGTGGCCCCTTCTGAGCCAGCGCCTGGTATGTGTGGGGCCACTCTGATGGCTAGAAATACGCAGCCCTGCCCACTCACCTACCTGGGCTGGGGCTTCTCCACGGAGGCAGTGTGAGTCAGTCTTGCAGAAGGCCGAGGACAGGATGGTATTGCCACTTTTTCCTAAGGCCACCACTCCCAGGCAGAGGGGGCAGAGTCCTTCAGGAGTAGAGTATGGAGCAGGGTAGACCTGGACCCTTCTAGCTTCCCTCTGTAGGAGAGATTACTGTGTGGGCTGTCTGGCTTCCACTCTGTTCTCTACAGCTCTCTGTCAGAAGGAGGCATGGGGGCTGGGGGAAGGACCCAGGGCCTTGCCCTCCCAACTGATCCCTCTCCTGGCCTTTCAGGGGGCTCTTTGCTAGCCAGAGCTCCCAGCCTTTCCTCTTAGGGAAAATTCCACCCCACCCCCCTCTCTTCCCTTTCCAACGTCCTCCCACTTTCTTGGTCCACCAGGAGGCGGTCGAGAGCCTTCTATCTTGACACACCCATTTCTCCTGCCAGGTGCTTGGTTCTAATGGCAGCCACTGCCACCTGCTCTGCTCATGCCAAGCTGGCAGAGGGCACAAATCCTCTAGGGGGTGCAAGGCCAGCCGGGCTCTAGGTTTTGTGCCCAGCAGACTTCACCCAGGAGGTTCTGTGCCTCCCCCACATCCTTTCCCTGACTCCAGCTGCCTGGCCGTCACCCCTTCCATCATAGATGGAGCCAGGTTATGACCCGGCAGAGCCCTGGGGTGCTGCATTTTGTCGAGGCCCTCCCAGGGCCTGCAGGTTAACATTCTCTAGTTGGCTGTGCTTCCTGCTTGCATGGGAACAAGGCTGTTCCCGGAGCCCGTTGGCCGTCCTGCCACCTGCATACCAATGGGGCTGTGGCTCCCACTGCATTGGGGCCTAGCATCTCTGCTGTGGTGGAGGCTGCGTGGCAGCCCTGGTGGGAGATTCCCCTTGCCTGAGCCCGTGCCCTCTCTGCAGGGCTCCTGCAAGGGAAGCCAGCACTGCTGGCTGTAGTTCCATCCCTAGCAGGGTTATCTGCTGGGAGCCAGGAGTGCTTGGACCCCTGCCCTTCCCTGGGCGGGCAGGCTGGCAGGCATCCGGCTCCTGCAGCCCCAGCAGCCCCAGCACCGCCGGGAGCAGCAGGTTGAAGCCTGTCCTCCTCTTGGCTGAGTGGTCAGAGTGCCACGGGCCAAGCCAGCCTCACTGAGGAATAGATAACTCTCAGCCGGCTTGGGGCTTTGTTGAGCACTTCTAGCACTGGGGAGACCTGAGGCTGGCTGCTGATTCCTTGCTGTCACCCTGCTTTGCACCCTGGGTGGGGTCGGCCACCTCCAGAAAAGCCCTTTGCAGGGCCTTTCCGAGGGCGCTTCCTCCTGGTGCTGGGGCAGGACGTGGGTTGGGAGGGAAAGTGAGCGAGTGTGTGTGTGTCTGTGTATGGAACCCCACCCTCCTGGCCACATCTGGCCACTCCTGCACATGTGGCTCTGGCCTCGTGGCCACAGAGTCGTCAGTGTGGCTGGCGGGCAAACCGCAGAGGAATGTGCCTAGCAGTGCTGGGCGGAGAAGGGGCTGGTGGGGACCGAGATACTCTGCTCAGGCTTTACCGTCCCATCCCCACCTCCACTGGGTCCCAGGGGCCATATTCAGGCATAAGGGTGGTAGCAGGGCCTTAGCCTTCAGCAGGCTTTGCCCCTGCCTGGGTGACACTCATTCAGTATAGGTTCCCTGGAGAGATCCAGGCCCATGAGTTGCACAGGGTCTAGAAGCCTCTCTTAGCTCAGCCCTTAGTCCTCTCCCAGCTCCCTCTCCACTCCCGATGAGGATCGATGATGGGGGCCTGGGCAGACCCCTGCTTACGAGGGGAGGAGACACTGGTAGCCACCAAGATGTTGGGGTCCTTCCTTCTCCAGGCCCTTCCTTGCCACAGGAAGGTCTTCCCAGCTCCCTGTGGCCTCCCTGGGCTGGAGTGAGAAAAGTGAGGGCTTTCTTTGGAGAATGAAATGGAAAAGAAACAAGGTGGGTCGGCCCTGCCTCTCTCACTTCCTCCTTCCTAGGCAGTGGGTAGCCTGCCTTCCCCTTCCTGCTGGAGGCTCTGTGGAGTGTGGGTTGGGCTTGGGGCTCCCTGCTGGGGTGGTGTTTGCCCAGTTGCCCTGGCAACCACGGGGCAGTGGTGGGGAGTGACATTCAGTGACCAGAGGACAGTGTACAGGGATCAAGAGGTCGAGACCCATGCTTCCCATAAGCCCATTGGAACATTTGCCTCTCCCTGGGGCCCCCTCAGCCCATTGCCCACATGGGGGCCTGGACCCGAAGTCTTGGGACCCAGCAGACCGCTCCACCCCTTTCCCCTCCCCAGCGGGTTCTCCCTGAGACCAGAGTTCTGAGATCTCTGCCTGAGCTCCAGCCTCCGCCCCCCTTGCCATTACCCTTCTTCCTGTCTGATTCCCTTTCCTTTCCTGTCTCCTCCTCCCACCTCCTCCCTGCGCCTGCCCGCCCATTCTCTCATTCCCCCTCCCCCCAGGCACAGCTGCTGTTTGGCTCACTCTATATATAGCGGCATTTTCGGGGTAATTACAATAAAACTGTTGAAAGGAGATAATCCAGCAAAGGAAGCAGAGTCTGACTCCCAGCCCCCTCCTGTCCCTGGTTTGTTGCAGCCCTGCACCCCCTTTCCCTGAGTCCTCCTGCTCCAACCCCCCCCCCCCCGCCCCATTCTTACAGCCTCTCCCTTGGGCCCCATCTTCCCTAGCTGGGTGTGGGGCAGAGAAAAGGGGAGAGGGTACGGGTGTCCTGAGGTCCCCACAGGCTTCTCCTGGGTTTCCCAAGGGCCCTGGCTGCCAGCCCCATCAGTTCTAGAACCAGCCTCTGTGCTTCAGTTTCTTTAGGTTTCTTGGCAGGGAATGTGTGATGCTGAGAGGTGGGGAGGAGGCATGGGAAGGATAGTGGTTAGAAGCATAGGGTTTGGATTCACATTCTGGTTCTTTGATCACCTGGCTGTGTGTGTTTGGTCATGTACTTAAACCTTTTTTTCTTTCGGGGCACCCGGGTGGCTCAGTTGGTTGAGCGGCCAACTTAGGCTCAGGTCACGATCTCACAGTTTGTGAGTTCGAGCTTTGCGTCAGGCTCTGTGCTGACAGCTCCGAGCCTGGAGCCTGCTTCGGATTCTGTGTCTCCCTCTCTCTCTGACCCTTCCCTGCTCACGCTCTGTGTCTCTCTGTCTCTCTCTCTCTCAAAAATAAACAAATATTTTTAAAAAATTTAAAAACCACAACAACCTATTTTCTTTCTCTTTTTAAGTTTATTTATTTATTTTGGGGGGTGGGGAGACAGAGACAGAGAGAGAATCCCAAGCAGGTTCCACACTCAGCGTGGAGCCCGAGTCGGGGCTTGATCTCACGAACGGCGGGATCACGATCTGAGCTGAAATCAAGGGTCAGACGCTTAACCTAACCGACTGAGCCACCCAGGTGTTCTTGTACTTGAACCTTTCTAAAGCCCGGCTTTCTCGTTAGGAAGGTAACTCATGTAAGATGCCCAGTGGTGTTAACAATACAAGACAATTTATTACGCGTTGAGCACTCACAATCTTCCAGGTGGCGTGCTTCACGCTTTTGCGTATTTTCTTATTGAAGTTCATGGTTTGGACCTCAATTACGGAAGAACACTGATTCTGTGGAGCAGAGGGCTTTGACTGCCTCCACCCCCCACCCCGCCTGCCATCTATTCTCTAGTGGGTCTAGTGGGCCTGCCGGGGAGCTTTCTGGGCCCCCAGCGGCCTAGTAGCGGTAGGATCGGGCTCACTGACGCCTGTCTCTTCTCCCTGCAGTGGAGGTGAAGCCGGTGCTGCCGGGAGCCATGCCCAGCTCCATGGGGGGCGGGGGTGGAGGCAGCCCCAGCCCCGCGGAGCTGCGGGGTGCCCTGGCGGGCCCTGTGGACCCCTCACTGAGGGAGCAGCAGCTGCAGCAGGAGCTCCTGGCACTCAAGCAGCAGCAGCAGCTGCAGAAGCAGCTCCTGTTCGCCGAGTTCCAGAAACAGCACGACCACCTGACGCGGCAGCATGAGGTCCAGCTGCAGAAGCACCTCAAGGTGAGCGAGGGGGGCGCGGGGGGGCTGCCCAAACCTCCGACCCCCGCCCGGACCTGGCTCACCCCATCCCTCCTTCCCCCTGCCCCCCTCCCTGTGCCTCTGCAGCAGCAGCAGGAGATGCTGGCGGCCAAGAGGCAGCAGGAGCTGGAGCAGCAGCGGCAGCGGGAGCAGCAGCGGCAGGAAGAGCTGGAGAAGCAGCGGCTGGAGCAGCAGCTGCTCATCCTGCGAAACAAGGAGAAGAGCAAAGAGAGTAAGGCCTGGGGCCTCCCGCTCCTGCCGCCCCCCCACCCCCCGCCCCCGAGCTGTGGGCTCCTGGCCCTGAGCACCCAGGTCAGCGGCGCCCTGTCCTGCAGGTGCCATCGCCAGCACTGAGGTGAAGCTGAGGCTCCAGGAATTCCTCTTGTCGAAGTCAAAGGAGCCCACGCCAGGCGGCCTCAACCATTCCCTCCCACAGCATCCCAAATGCTGGTAATAGGCCCTGGGCGGGCATGGGTCTCAGAGGTGCGTCCCCCTCCTCCCCCCCCATCAGGGGCTGCCCGGTTGCAGGATGGCAGGGGGCTCCTGGCCGGAAGCCAGATACAGGCCCTGCGATCTCTCTCGGAAGACGAGATTGCCACCCCTGGCTTCCCTCCTTGTTCCCCTCCCCAGATCCACTTCCTGTCCCTTCATGCAGTGGGTATTTCCTAAATGTGACTGCCACTAGGTGGCAGGCCCAGCTGGCTGGGTAATAACCTAGGTCTGTTTCCATCCCCACCCCACACCCCCCAGGGGAGCCCACCATGCTTCTTTGGACCAGAGTTCCCCTCCCCAGAGTGGCCCCCCTGGGACGCCTCCCTCCTACAAACTGCCTTTGCTTGGGCCCTATGACAGCCGCGATGACTTCCCCCTCCGCAAAACAGGTGAGCAGTGCCCAACCTGGCCTCCCAGAGTATGGCTCCTTGGACGTAGGGGTGGGAGTGTGAAGGGGCCAGGCTGCAGGTGTGTGCGCATCCGTGTAGCTGTATCTGAGCCCTGCCTGCCTTCTCCCTAGCCTCTGAACCCAACTTGAAAGTGCGTTCGAGGCTAAAGCAGAAGGTGGCTGAGCGGAGAAGCAGTCCCCTCCTGCGTCGCAAGGATGGGACAGTCATTAGCACCTTTAAGAAGAGAGCTGTTGAGATCACTGGTGCTGGGCCTGGAGGTAAGGGCTCCTCTTTTGTTCCTGTTCTGAGGTCCTGGGAGTGGGGGGTGGCTCTGAGCAAGCCCAGGTGACAGCCAGTTCTCCCATAGTGTCGTCCGTGTGTAACAGCGCACCAGGCTCCGGCCCCAGCTCTCCCAACAGCTCCCACAGCACCATTGCTGAGAATGGCTTTACTGGCTCAGTCCCCAACATCCCCACTGAGGTACAGGCCTGCTGAGGGCTGGGCGGGCGGGCCAGAGCTGCTCTGTTTCCCTTGGAAGAAGGAGGGCAGCTCCTTCCTGTCTGTCTTGCTGAGAGTACCCGGCAGGGACCTCTCCGCCCATGTGGACAGGCTAGAGGGACCTGTTGCCTCTAAGTGGGATTTGTCCCATGGGCCTCTGAAGGACTATGATCTCTCAGTACTGCCCAGGTGGGGCTTGGTGTGGGGAGCGGGGAGCGAGGCACCATTCAGAGCCCTCGGCCCCAGGTGGCCCCCCCTTTGCCTGCTCTCATGCCTGTCTCTCCCGACTGCTCCCTAGATGCTCCCCCAGCACCGGGCCCTCCCTCTGGACAGCTCCCCCAACCAGTTCAGCCTCTACACGTCTCCCTCTCTGCCCAACATCTCCCTAGGGCTGCAGGCCACAGTCACTGTCACCAACTCGCACCTCACGGTAAGTATGAGGCACACGCCCCATCCTCCCTCTGGTGTCTAGGTTTGTGGTCCTGGGTGCCCCCAGCTGGGGTTTTTGTCCTCACAAGGCCCCGAAGGAGATCAGATGGCCTTCCTCAGAGTTGGGGGGTGGGAGGTGGGTGGGTGAGGGATGCCGATCCAAAGTTGGCGGGACTGGGGATGGTATGTGCCTCTCCTTCATTTCCGTCTCTCTTTCCCTCCCCCAGGCCTCCCCGAAGCTGTCAACGCAGCAGGAGGCCGAGAGGCAGGCCCTCCAGTCCCTGCGGCAGGGTGGCGCGCTGACGGGCAAGTTCATGAGCACATCCTCCATCCCCGGCTGCCTGCTGGGCGTGGCGCTGGAGGGTGACACCAGCCCCCACGGGCATGCCTCCCTGCTGCAGCACGTGCTGCTGCTGGAGCAGGCTCGGCAGCAAAGCACCCTCATCGCTGGTGAGTGGGGGCGGCAGCTGTGCGAGGGAGTGGGTGTCAGGCTCCTCCTCCAAGGGTGCGAGGCAACCACCAGGGAGTAGCCGGGGACACTCTTCAGCTCTACCACAGCTCCCCTCCATGGCATCGTTGATTTCTTCTGTATCGCGTTGCTCGGACATTATCGAGCACCTCCAGCCCGCCAGGTGCTGTTCTCGACGACATCGATTGCTGCGATGTGCTCAGGTTCCAGAGCAGTGCCATCCAGTAGAAATACAACACAAGCCACATGTGCAACTTAAAGTTTTCTAGAACCGCGTTAAAAATATATATAAAAAGAGGGGCGCCTGGCTGGCTCGATCAGCGGAGCATGTGACTCTTGATCTCGGGATTGTAAGTTTGAGTCCCGTGTTGGGTGTAGAGCTTACTTAAAATCTTTTTTTAATTTGAATTTCATTTCATTTCATTTCATTTCATTTCATTTCATTTCATTTCATTTCATTTCATTGTTTTAAAGTTTATTTTGAGAGAGAGAGAGCACACACACATGCACAGGTGTGCACGTGAGCTCGTGAGCAAGGGAGGGAGAAGGAGAGAGAGGGGGAGAGAGACTCCCAAGCAGGCTCCATGTTGTCAGTGCAGAGCCCAGTGAAGGGCTTGATCTCCCGAACCGTGAAATCGTGACCTGAGCCAAAATCAGGAGTTGGACACTTAACCAACTGAGCCATCCAGGTGCCCCAGAATCTTTTCATTTTTATTTTTCATTTTTTTTTATTTTATTTTAGAGAGCACACAAGTGGGGCAGAGGGAGAGAGAGAGAGAGAGAGAGAGAGAGAGAGAGAGAGAATCAGAGAGAATCTTTAAGCAGGCTTCATGCTTAGTGTAGAGCCTGACATGGGGCTTGATCCCATGACCCTGGGATCATGACCTGAGCTGAAATCAAGAGTTAGACCCTCAACCGACTGAGGCACCCCAAAAATAAAAGCTTTAAAAAAATTGTGAAAGGAAACAGGTGAAATTAACTTTAATATATATACGTACACATACATATTTTTAAAATTTTATTTATTTAGTTATTCTGCACATCCAGCGAAGGGCTTGAACTCACAACCCTGAGATCAAGAGTCTCACGCTCCTCTGACTGAACCAGCTGAGTGCCCCAACTTTGATATATGTTTAATTCGCTAGGTCTGGAATATTACCATTTCAACATATAATCAGTATAAAGGGTTACCTATGAGACCATTTACTTTGTGCTTCATACTGTCTTGGAAATCCAGTTGTGTATTTCATGTTTAGAGCCCATCTCAACTCAGGCCACATTTTAAGTGCTCAGGAGTCGCATGTGGCTGCAGCTGTGGGATTGGATGGCACGGCTTTGGGCAGTCAGACCATAAGCAGCTGGTGGCATCAGAAGAGGTTCTGCTTAAAAGACAAGTGATCCTGGCCCCCAGACTTCCCCACCTGATGGGATCCTTGTCTATGATCAGAGGGGGTCTCGTTGCCATTGGAGAAAGCTAGTCCTTGTTCAGCCGTACTGAGGGCCTAAGACTGTATGTGTAGTCCTAAGGGAATCAAAGAGAGAGAGTGGTGAATCCAGGATGGCTTGCAGGAGGCAGTGGCTCTGAGCTACAAAACTGTTGCATTGTGGGGAGGAGGAAGAAGGGGGCTCAGGTTTGGGGGCAGGGTGCCCCAGGCCCCTCCAAGGTTTCTCCTGATCATATCGGTGGTGGTGTTCCAGGAGGGGGAGAGCCTCGGGGTAGGGGGGGGCAGCCCGGAGCCCCGACAGTGATGGTTACTCGCCTTTCCCCACTGCACAGTGCCACTCCACGGGCAGTCCCCGCTGGTGACAGGTGAACGTGTGGCCACCAGCATGCGGACAGTGGGCAAGCTCCCGCGGCACCGGCCCTTGAGCCGCACTCAGTCCTCCCCGCTACCCCAGAGCCCCCAGGCCCTGCAGCAGCTGGTCATGCAGCAGCAGCACCAGCAGTTCCTGGAGAAACAGAAGCAACAGCAGCTGCAGCTGGGCAAGGTGAGCTGGGGGAGGCGAATGGCCAGGGCTGTGCTGGGGGCAGGACACCGGACGGCACCGGGCTGGCAGGCAGGGAGCCGGGGCTGACGCCCGGGGCCACTCCCCACGCCGTATCTGCTCCGAGTTGCCACCTTGCCTCACGCGGAAGCTCTGTACAGGCAGGGCGGCTACCAGGGAGAGGCAAGGGGAGGACGGACCCTCCTGGGCCACGGGCCACCTGGTTGCTCCCCCTCCCAGCTGGCGTGTCCCTTTGCTCTGCTCCCAGATCCTCACCAAGACTGGGGAGCTGCCACGGCAGCCCACCACCCACCCCGAGGAGACAGAGGAGGAGCTGACTGAGCAGCAGGAGGCCTTGCTTGGGGAGGGGGCCCTGACCATCCCCCGGGAAGGCTCCACGGAGAGTGAGAGTACACAGGAAGACCTGGAGGAGGAGGAAGAGGAGGAGGAGGAGGAGGAGGAAGAGGAGGAGGAGGACTGCATCCAGGTCAAGGACGAGGAGGGCGAGAGTGGCACCGAGGAGGGGCCCGACTCGGAGGAGTCCAGTGCTGGTTACAAGAAGGTGCTCCCTCCACCCCGGCCCTTGATCGCCACTCCTCTGTCCCCTGCAGCCCCTTCCCATCTTTGCCTTTCCCTCTCCCTGGTCTGCACTTCCCAGGCTTTCTGAAGAGAGCCAAAGCAGAGTGGGAAAGAGACAAGGGGCTATGGAAGGGGGCGCTGCTTGTGTTGGTCTCAGAGCCATCTGTGCCCCAGTCTGCCAGCCCCTCCCTGTGTCTGTGTCTGCCCTTGCCACAGGCTGCTTGTGTGTGTGTGTGTGTGTGTGTGTGTGTGTGTGTGTGCGCGCGCGCGCGCACATGGCCTGTGTATCTGCGTTTCTGCTTGCGTAGGGCCGGTTGCGCATTGGTCTCTGCGAGCATGCGCGTGTGTACACACACACCCCCGCTGTTACTACAGTCCCCCTGCACCTAGAACGCGCTCCATTCATTGCGGACACAGCCGAGCCCTCCGGGCCTGACTCATCCTGCCCCCTCCCACGCCCCCGTCCCTCCCAGCCTCTTACCTCAATGCTACTCTGGCGTGACTCATCCCTTCCCCCCACCCCCCTATCTCCTGGGAGGTGGAGATGGTGAAGGCTGGAGTGCCTCCTGTCCCTGGTGGGAGGAGATGGGGGAAGGGGGAGGTTTGGAAGAGAAGGACTGGAACAGGGGCCCCTTTGGGGGGCCCGGGACATTTGCCCTCACTTGCGTCTCACGCTCCCTCCCACTCTCCTCCTGCCCAGGTGTTCTCAGATGCCCAGCAGCTGCAGCCCCTTCAGGTGTATCAGGCACCCCTCAGCCTGGCCACTGTGCCCCACCAGGCCCTGGGCCGCACCCAGTCCTCACCTGCTGCCCCTGGGGGCATGAAGAGCCCCCCAGACCAGCCCACCAAGCACCTCTTCACCACAGGTGAGCCCCACCCCCGCCAGCTGTCCTTCCACCGTGTGCCAGGGTGCCTGTGCATCATGTCTAGCCTCGTGCGACCCGCTGAGGGACCACCTGTTTTTCGCACCATGGCCGCATAAGCCCTTGGGGCCCTGGGTGAAGAGAGCTCACTGTCTCAGTTGGTCCCTACCCTTCTAGCTTCCTGTCCTCCTCCCTGTGGGGTCAAAAGTGAGGCCTCAGTCCATTCCAGAAAGCTTTCCCACATGAAGCTGCCCTATGCTGGGCTCTGAGGGGGCACAGTTGCCTGGGGATGGTCCTGCCTCACCAGTGGGGTGTGGGGGGCTGGGGGAACGGCACACGGGCTGTGACAGAAGGGGGAAAGGTGGATGTGCCCTGAAGGGAGTAGAGTGTTGAGAGCATGATGTGCAGAAATCAAAACCAGTGGCGGTGGGCGCCCCCCCCCCCCGCCGCCTGGGTGGCTCAGTCAGTTAAGCGTCTGACTCTTGATTTCAGCTCAGGTCTATGATCTCACCTGAGATCCAGCCCCGCATCAGACTGTGCGCTGACCGCACAGAGCCTGCTTGGGATTCTCTCCCTCTGTCTCTCTTCTCTCCAAATAAATACATAAATATTCAGGGGCAGGCTGGTTGAGGCTTGAGGAGGGGTGGGGGGGCTTTTGATGGGCGGTAATGGGAGAAAGGAACCTCGGGAGGAGAGGAGAGGGGCCGGTGTGTGGGAAGGCGGCTGGGGTGGGGCCGGGGTGGCCATGGGGAGGTACTGGGGCCAGGGCTGACTGGGGAGAGCTTGGTGTGCTCTGCCGGGGATGGCAGTGGCTAGGCTGCCATGGCCCAGAGCGGTGCTGGCTGATGGGTATGTCTCCGGTCCAGGTGTGGTCTACGACACGTTCATGCTGAAGCATCAGTGCATGTGCGGGAACACACACGTGCACCCTGAGCATGCCGGCCGGATCCAGAGCATCTGGTCTCGGCTGCAGGAGACAGGCCTGCTTAGCAAGTGTGAGGTGAGGGAGCCTCTCCTTCTTCCAGCTCCCTGCTCCCCCCAAACCCAGCCAAGGCCTTTGTGTCTCTGTGTCCATGAGGCCTCTCTCTGTGTCTTCCTCATTTTTCTTTCAACCCCTGACCTCAGGGTCAGTCCCTTCAGCCACCTCTCGGTTCCATCCCTCATAGCGCATTTTGCTGAGCGGGGGTGGTCCCGGACTGGGGTATGTGGGGGGCCAGGGCATACAGTAAAACCTGGGATTGTGAGGAACTTGTTCTGCGAGTGTTCCACAAGACGCCTCTAATCAATTTGAACTTGATAAACAAGCGATGTCTTGCAATACGAGTGGTACGGGACGCCGAACGTCACATGATCACCACTGAGCCAATGGTTCTTGAAATTCGCTTTGATATACAAGTGCTTTGGATTATAAGCATGTTTCCGGAACAAAGTATGTTCCCAAAGCAAGGTCTTACTGTAGTCTCTCAAAATCCTTTGGATCTCTTAAGGCCAGAAAGCAGCTTCATGTGTCCCGGGCGGTAGGACAGAGAGAGGGTCTGGGCATCAGGGAGAGCTGGGCCTTCAGTGCATCCCCTTACTGGCCTCTTCTGCGCTCCCCGTACAGCGGATCCGGGGTCGCAAAGCCACACTGGACGAGATCCAGACGGTGCACTCCGAATACCACACCCTGCTCTATGGGACCAGCCCCCTCAACCGACAGAAGCTTGACAGCAAGAAGCTGCTTGGTGAGCCAGCAGTCATGGGGCAGGCTGCGTGCGCTGCCCTGGGGGATAGGGAGCTGTCAGCATAGACAAGTGGGTCCCAGTGGGCACAGATCATACCCTTGGCCGAGGTGGCACAGCCGCCACATTGCACACCTCCAGGGGGCGCCATTCACATAGACCACCGTGTGGGTGGGGTGCATTGCAGGAGGGTGGAGGGTGGCAGGTCAGGCTTAGTGATGGGGGAGGGCTTTGCTCGTCTCCCTAATCGATCCATGCCCCTTTTTCCCTGCCGTCTGCCCCAGAGGTAAGGTGTTCCCGCCTGAGGACAGGGGACAGACCTCTCCCAACTGGCGTGGGGTGCAGAGGCCTGTCCTGTGCTTGGGTCTGGCCTTCTTTTTTTGGTGCTGGAGCTCACTGCCCTCTGGAGGCCCCCGCCTGTAGCCTTGGCACTTGAGGCAACTTCCAGAGTAGCTTTGTCCCTCTTCCTTGCAGGCCCCATCAGCCAGAAGATGTATGCCATGCTGCCTTGTGGGGGCATTGGGGTGAGTAGGGCACCTGCCAGTAGGGATGGATGGGCGGCACTCCCAGCTCTTGCCCCCCACCCCCCTTTCCCGCCCAGCATGGCCGCTGGCCCACTGTCCAGGTGCCCACCCCCATTCTTGCCCTCCCCCTGCAGGGGGCACGCTGAAGCCTGCTCTCCTGCCCCCGCAGGTGGACAGTGACACTGTGTGGAACGAGATGCACTCCTCCAGTGCTGTGCGCATGGCAGTGGGCTGCCTGGTAGAGCTGGCTTTCAAGGTGGCAGCAGGAGAGCTCAAGGTGAGTGTGTGCCTGGGGCCTCGGCATCACGTGGCCTGGTCCTGCATCCTCGGGTGGAGGACGGGGGCAGCCTTGGCTTTCCCCTGAGCAAGCAGGCAACCTTAACTCTCAGGTGCCAGAGTGGGGGGGAGGTGATGGCTCCCGGGCCAGCCGGGGGGGTGAGTGGTAAAGAGGGACTGGCAAAGAGGCACTAATATCTGATGCTCTCGTGGGTCTCTTGAGATCAGAGGTGGTGTCTACTTGCCCACGGGGCCTGCGGCTGTGTTCTTAGTGCGCGGGCTACATGTTTTTGACCTGTGTTCTCTTCCCTGCCTGGTTTGTGTTTCTCTCCTCTGCGTCCACCCCTTCTGTGGCCACCTTGCCTGTCTATCTGTCGTCCCCGTCCTCCTGTCTGCACCTCTTCAGAATGGATTTGCCATCATCCGGCCCCCAGGACACCACGCAGAGGAATCCACAGCCATGTGAGTGCCACACCCGCCCTGCCCTAGACCCGCGGCCCTCCTCCCTTCCCCTCTCCCTCTCAGCTGAGCTGATGTGTATCTTTTGCTCATGCAGCAAACAATCTGCTAAAGCTGACCTCCCCCATCCTTTTCTCCCCCCACACACCAGGGGATTCTGCTTCTTCAACTCTGTAGCCATCACAGCCAAACTCCTACAGCAGAAGCTGAACGTGGGCAAGGTTCTCATCGTGGACTGGGTAGGCAGGGGGCTGGTGGGACCAGGGTCAGCCTTCAGGAAGGCACCCCCCCCCCCCAACACTGCCACCTATTCCTTAGGTGCCCACACTGCTGCTGGGCCTGATGACTTACCTTGTATCTTCCTGCTGGAGCATCAGCCCAGCCCTCCCATTCCCATGGGCCTCCCTCCTTGCTAAGAGAGACTCAAAAGTGGCCTGAGCCCCAGTCCACCTTGGCCCCGACCTTGTAGCCTCAAGCAACCAAGATTTTCTACTGTGAACAGTGTAGACTGTTGCCACCGTTGCTAGAGGTACTCTTGACTGGGGTTGGCTGTGTGCCAGGACACACGGTACTGCTCGTGGTTCGTATCGAGTGGTAGGAGTTAGGATGTGCATTTCTATAAACGGAGAGACACTGAGCCGTTGGGTGAAATAGCCGACCAAAGTCACAGAGTTTGGGATGTTGGCACTGTGCTTCGGATGAGACCTTTTGGCCCCAGCACTTCTGCTCTTGCTCCTGGGCGCCACTTCTCAAACCCCGCCTCTCACGGCAGAGGGAAAGGCACCCTCCACTCCCCCATAACTGGGAAGTAGCCAGGAGCAGTGCTCATCAAAGATGAGGACTCTTTGAAGCCCAACTTTGGCTTAAAAACTCAACGTAAGTTGGGTCCTTCGGAGTGTATCTGCTTTCGGTTCCTTACTAGCCTTAAGGTTTCCCTCCACGCTGTTGAGGACAATGGTGCAGGGCGACCCGCCGTATTCGTCCCACGGCTTTGTATCTCTTCTGTACCGTGCCACGTTCTGGCCCACAGACCCTGGGTAGAGAAGTGTGGGGCGATACTGTTGCGGACAGAACATGCTGCCTTGCACCCCCAGAGTTCACCATAGGGTGGAGGTGGGGAGCAAGTGGAATTTTGACCATTGGGCCCGAGACTGGGCCTTTTTTCTGACACTCCCACGACTCTGCCATCTAGGACATTCACCACGGCAATGGCACCCAACAAGCCTTTTACAATGACCCGTCTGTGCTCTACATCTCCCTGCATCGCTATGACAACGGGAACTTCTTTCCAGGCTCTGGGGCTCCTGAAGAGGTACAGTTCCTGGGTTCAATCAAATATAGGGCCCCTTGGGGAGGTAGCAGAATGGGACCTAGCAGGGAGCCAGGGAGGCCTGTGGTGGTGCTGATATCCAGGGAGTCCGGGCTTCTAGCGGGAGGACCACGCAGGCCAACTGTCCCTCCACCAAGAGCAGCAGTGAGTGGAGTAAGGGCTGGAATCAGGGCTGAGGGCGGGGCCGATGTCTGGGATCCCCAGGCAGTGAGAATAACCCCTCCCCACCACGCTGCCAGGTTGGCGGAGGGCCAGGTGTGGGGTACAATGTGAACGTGGCATGGACAGGAGGTGTGGATCCCCCCATCGGAGATGTGGAGTACCTAACAGCTTTCAGGTGGGCACTGAGAAGGGCCAAGGGCAGGGTGGGAGCCCCCTGGGCCCTGCCATGGGAGGGGCAGAAGGCATTCAGGTTGGTGTGGGTGAGGGGTCTTGTCTCGGGGGGGGGGGAGCACAGAGTGAGGGGAGGCCTGGCCTAGCCACCTGCCAGGGTCAGCTTGGGCCCTCCCTTTGCAGGACAGTGGTGATGCCCATTGCCCACGAGTTCTCACCTGACGTGGTCCTGGTCTCTGCCGGGTTTGATGCTGTTGAGGGACACCTGTCTCCACTGGGTGGCTACTCTGTCACCGCCAGATGTGAGCTGCTGGGGGATTGAGGGAGGGCGTGGAGCAGGAATAGACTGGCGTTGCGGAGGTTGGGAGGAGGAAAGCGGAGGGGCAGGTCCAAGACGTGGAATCGTCTTGGCAGGGGCTTCCCACTCCCTTTGCCAGCCTTGGCCTTGGGGCGGAGGGCAGGCATGTGGGTGTGGGGTAACAGAGGGTAGATCTCCTCCCAGAGTCACAGGGGTGGGACTTGTTGATCCCTATGTTTCGGTGGTGCTCCTTAGGACATAAATGGAATTTCTTTTAGCCCACTCGTTCTGTTTTGTCTTTATTTATTTATTAAGATGTTTAAAAAGATTATTTATTTAAGCAATCTCTACACCCAATGTGGGTCTCAAACTCACGACCCTGAGATCAAGAGCCGCATGCTCCACCGACTGAGCCAGTCAGGCTCCCCTGTTCTCTTTTGCTTTTAACGGAGCATTTAGTCCGTTGACATTGAATTTTATCGTGGATGTATATCTGGGTTTAAATCTACTATTTTATTTTGTACTGTTTGTTCCGCCTCTCACGTTGCTTTTTCTCTCCTTTCTTATCTTCTCTTGAATTTTTTTTTTTTCCAAACCATTTTGGTTTCCTCACTTCGCCCATCCCTAAAGGTTTTGGCCACTTAACCAGGCAGCTGATGACGCTGGCAGGGGGCCGGGTGGTGCTGGCCCTGGAGGGAGGCCACGACTTGACCGCCATCTGTGATGCCTCTGAGGCCTGTGTCTCAGCCCTGCTCAGCGTGGAGGTAAGGGATGCAGGGAGGCACCGGGGGAAGTGGACTAGTAAGCCAGGGGGTGAGGGCCCAGGGAGAGGCCAGTAAGGGAGGGCCCCTTTCCTGATTAAGCAGCACTGAGCGCCCTTGGGAAGGTTTTCCTGGGTTCCAAAGACACCCGGTGGCTAGGGAGGGCTTTCTGACTCAGGGTTCCTCCTGGGTTCCTTTCTGCTGTTTACCCTTGTCACGGGAGATGGTTGGGGCTGAATGGGGTGCTCAGAGGGCCAGGCACCGCCACCATAAGCCGTACGCCTTCTCTTCTTTCCCCTGCCAGCTGCAGCCCTTGGACGAGGCAGTCTTGCAACAAAAGCCCAACATCAACGCAGTGGCCACGCTAGAGAAAGTCATCGAGATCCAGAGTGCGTGGGGACAAGGCAGAGAGGCTCAGACCTCGGCTTGCCAAAGGGGCAGAAGCTTGTGGGCCTGCCAGGGCTGGGGATGTAGTATGCTTTCTGTCCTGCCTGATCCCCGTCTACCCCTCGTCCACAGGCAAACACTGGAGCTGCGTACAGAGGTTCGCTGCTGGTCTAGGCCGTTCCCTGCGGGAGGCCCAGGCAGGGGAGACGGAGGAGGCTGAGACTGTGAGCGCCATGGCCTTGCTGTCGGTGGGGGCCGAGCAGGCCCAGGCTGCTGCAGCCCGGGAGCACAGCCCCAGGTAAGGTTCCTCCTGACCTCTGCCCTCACCCAAGCCGGTGCCCCCACCTCAATGCCCCTCCCTGTGCTTGTTCCCACAGGCCGGCAGAGGAGCCCATGGAACAGGAGCCTGCCCTGTGACACCCTGGCCCCCGTCCCTCTGGGCTTCATCATTGTGATTTTGTTTATTTTTTCTATTAAAAACAAAAAGTCACACATTCAACAACGTGTGCTGTGTGGGTCTCTCAGCCTCGGGGGCGCCGCGGCCCCCGCTCCTCTAAGCCGCCTCAGGCCTCCTGCCCAACTCCCCCCAGCAAGACCCACGTCTCCACTCTAGAAGTTTGCTCCCCCTGAAAGGTACGGAGGTACCCTTTCCAGCCTCACCTCCATGCTGTGTCCCGTACCCGCTTCTCTGCATTCTGTCCTTTTCTACCTTGGAGACTGGGCCGGCTTAAAGTGGGTGTGGGGCCCAGATAGTACCTTCTAGTTTTGGAGTCTCGCTAAGTGAGGAGGGAACAGTAAGTTTGGTGCCTTGGCTTCAGCTAACTGGGGGAAATGCCTTAATTTCACCCTCCTCCCCTCTCCAACCTCAGGGGAAGATCCGGAAGGTTGCTCTATAGTCTAAGATACAGAGTGGAGGGGAGGTGGGCTCCCACCCCGTGATTCCCCACCCTTTTCCCTCTTTGTTGTCCTCACCATCTCTGCATAGACCCCTTCTCCTCCTCCTTTCTCCTGGCCTCAGCACCGGGGGAAGACTTGTGCCCTAGAATGTGGGCCTGTGGTCTGTGGGCAGGGCTGTCTGGCCTCGTACTCCTCAGGACCTCTTTGCCCTTCCCAGGGGTTGGAGAGGGTCAAAGTGTGTGGGGAGGGATGGGGCTGGACTCCTGGGTTCGGAGGGACCAGGAGGAGTCTTAGAACCAGGCTTGCTCTCAGCCTTACTCTGTGGGCTTCCCTGCCCCTCTGCTGGCACAGCCTGGGGATGGGCAGGTGGTCCCTGCAAGGGCCGGGGGTGGTGGAGCCTCCAGGCTGGTGAGAGCCCCCTTGCTGTTCAGGACCAGATTTCCCCAGCTATCCAGTGGTCACTGGCCCACCTCCCTTCTGGGGCCTTTTACGTTGAAGCCTGGGGATGGTGAGAGTGGGGTTTCTAGAAGGGGGCAGGGCCAGAACGCAGGAGTCTGCCCTCACCCGTAGCTTCCCTTCCTCCTGGGCTGCCTCTCCTGGCCACTAGCCCAAGGGAGCTAAGACCAGGAGGGGCTGGGGGCCCTCAAGGCCTAGGGAATGCCGTCTAGCCTGTAGGAAACCAAAGATGGGAAGTGGCTCCTAGGGGGCTGCGTCTTCCTCGGTCCTCCTGTCAACACCACATACACTTCTTTTCTGCCCCATCCCGAGGGTCCCCCCGCCCCGTCTGTTTACATATTATCCTAACGGGGGGCCTGAGTAGGGTTGAGGGAGCCAGGGGAGGGGCAGGAGCCCCACCACCACTGGTTCGTTGCGTGCTTGTGTCCTGTGTGTTGTTAGTGTATTCTAGATCCTCCTGGGGGATGTGGATGGGGCTAGGCCCAGTGTACCAGGCCTCTCCGTGCCGAGCCCCAGCTCCAGGCCCTTCTCTCTCTCTCCCATGGCTGGTCTGGTTCTCATGTAAACCCACTCCTTGCTTTGTCTCCCTGGATATGGATTTCAGTTAAGTATTTTGTAATCTGTTAAACTGTGTGTCCTTATGTAAATAAACTTGTTTCTGGCAGTGCCTTCTGGGGCTGATGTCTCTCTTCTCTGGGCTTCCAAATGGAGTAGAGGTTCCCATTCCCCACCCTGGCCAAAAAAACGGCTCTTCTTTTCTCCAGCCCCTGGACTGGCCAATTTAGGAAACAGGAGGCTGAGGTGGGAGGGAGTGGAGTCTCTGTCCTGTAGATTAAAGACAAGGTGTCACTGAATGTAGCCATAGCATCTCATGGGACCTCTCTTGTGGCCTAGCCAATGATGCTGGGCCCAGGCTGAGGGTCTCTGGAAACAAGCGTTGTGGGGGGAGGGGGAGTGTACAACAGGTGGCCTGGCAAGGGTCTCACTTGCACACACACAGGCAAGTTTAACAGAAATGTGCGCATAGGCAAAAAAGAAATCCAGATGTATTCAAGGGCTTTTATTGGGGCCTCTGTGAACCCCTCACAGTGTTACAGGACCCCACTGGTCTTGATGTTGCCTTAGCTCTCCGGGGACTCAGGGGAAGGCAAAAGGACCAGCATTTTTGGGAGAAAGAAGGCCCTTTGGGGTGAAGACCAGATGCTGGGGAAGTGGGAGACTGAGGATGACCAGGGCCTGTGGGAGCTGGAAGGGGATGGGGCTGCCTCCTGGAGTGGGGAGGGAGGTCACAGATCACGGAGTGTTGGCTTTGGGGGGGGCGGGGCAAGTGGCAATAGGAGGCACTTGAAATCAGGAAGAGCGGATGGGTGGTATTTCCTGGGCACTGAACATGTGCACCACCCAGGGCACAAGGGCCAGGACGAGGCATGGCCAGAGGGTGTACTTGAGGAAATTGAAGATATAGAAAAGGCTGATCTGAGGTGGGTAGCCCAGCCAGTCCAGGGGGCCCAGCAGCCCCACGGCCAGCACAAGACAGACTATCTTCTGGCCATGTCCCAGGTATGCTCGCCGTACCTGGGCATAGCAGGGAGAGTGCAGGGCAATGCCCAGACCCAGGGCGGCCCCTGAGTCACGGCTCAGGGAGGCAAAGGGCCGGCTATCCAAGTGCACCCACTCAGGCCGCTCACACCACTTGGAGGCCAGACTGATGGACCTGTGGGGAGGAGGGGGTCTTTGCAGGAGAGACCTCCCCCCTCTGGAACCTAGAGGGCCAATGGCTCTCAGCCCCTTTGGAGTCTACCCCCATGTTGTGCTGTGACCCCAGGAGAGTCTGTGTGAACAGGTCACATGTTCCTTTTTGGCTACAACAAACCAGGGACCCACCGGGCTGGGTACGGGTGAGGCAGAACGGGCTCCGGCCTGCCCAAACTTCAAAGCAGGACTTACCAAGAAAGATCCAGGCCCAGTGTAAAAAGGGTCCAATAGATGAGGCTGGCACCCAGCAAGAGGGCCAGTGAGGTCAATCCATAGAAGCTTAGCTCCCGCTCCATGGGTACCCGGGGGGCCATCAGCCAGCCCAGCGCAGCACCTAGGGAAGTAAGGTGACAGCAGCTTCAGGGAGTTTGGGGGATATGAGCCCCCTGAGCTGAAGGACAGCTCGGCAGAATAGACAGGTATAAAAAAAAGGGCCTTGGGGTCAGCTATACGATGGGAGGATCCTATACGGGTCCTCCCACTGCCAGTGGCACCCCGTAGGCCCACCATGTTGCCCCAGTTGCTCACCAGTTATTAGGCCAGCCAGCACCTGGTGGGGGAAATGTGCTAAGAGGAAGACCCGGGACAGGCCGACCGCCAGTAGGAAGGTGCAGTAAGCCAGACTAGGTATCACCCTCACCCAGCGGCTACAAAGAAGAAAAGCAAAATGGTTCAGGGGGTGTCCACACACAGCTTGGCTTCCCTCAGCACCCAAGCACTTCATGGTTTGACCAAATGCCCCCAGGGTCCCCAGACCTCCAGCTCCCAGGCTGCCCTGCTGCTGCGTTTTTTGGGTCCAGGGCACCATCACCCCTCTCCTCCTTGGTAGGCAATGCCAACGTGTACCTGTGGGCCCGAGTGGCCACCTGGGAAGAGATGGCCGTCATTATGGGCCAGAGCGCTGCTCCTGTGATCATGCAATGCCCAGAAGGGCTGCCTGCCGGAGGATCCAGAAGATTGAGGTGAGAGGATGAGAGTGGAACCCAGGAGCCCCTGGCAATAGCTGAACCCCGCTGCCCACCCCCTGCATTGGTCCATGGCTCTCTCTGCCCTGAAGCCTTCTTCACCCCTGCCTGAGGCCACTGCTCTCAGGCTTCTGCTTTGTCTCTCGGATCTACTCTAAACAAGGTGGGCAGCTGGCACTCTAGCATGGGTGCCCTCCTCTGGAATTCAAATCATTCTTCCTGGGGTTTCTTAGTTCTCTGGGTCAGTAACTGAGAGGCTGGGCCTCTGGTTAGGCCACCCTGGCTGAAAAGTACTCTGAAACACTCACTGAACACTAACCACACTGGGACAGGGAGATTTGGGGCTTCCCACCTGGACCAGTTTCACAAGAAGCAGGGAACTGGTGGACCTGGGCTGGGGCCTGGCTGTAGTAGCCAGACTCATGGACCCACCAAAAGGGCCTGTCTCCAAACAGAAGCCTAGAAGAGAACAGACAGAAGATGACATTATATGCGCACGCAGCCAGGGGAACAGGCGGGAGCAGAAGGATCCCCGGGAGTACTCTGGAGGGCCTGCAGGGTGGAGTCGGAAAGGGAGTCCAAGTCTGTGCATTACCTTGCCATGAGTTTTCACCTTGGAACAGAAGAACACATGCTATTTTTAAAGAAGTGATAAGGAGGAAAGAGATCGTGTGTGTGTGTGTGTGTGTGTGTGTGTGTGCGTATGCACATGCACACTCTGAAATGCTCTGAAATGCTCACTAGTCCCGCTCTTACTCCTCCCACTGCAGGGCCAGCTCTGCTCTTCCTAGAGAGCCCAGGACTTGACTCTTTCTGTTGCTCCCAGACTCCCCACTGACCCTCCTGAATCTTCCTCCCTCCAGTTCCCAAACTCCAGTCTGAATTACCCACACGTGAACTCCTTGGGTGAGACTCTCTTGTTTGAGAATGGGAGTGGGAAATGGACAGAGGAGGCTGAGAAAGAATAAAGAGGACAAAAAGCTCAAAGTCCCCTGGCTGGTGACTTCACTGGACCCTGGGAAACCACATCCTGAAGAGGCGAGGCTGCTGTGGCCAGAAAGAGGAAAGGCAGGAGAGCCGAAAGATGCTGCTGGGGAGGGAGACAAAAGGCACCTGCCTCTCCTCACCACTAGGTTCGCACGCCAGGTGCTCAAAACACACTTAGGAAATGAATAGGAGCTTTGTCACTTGTTGGGGGGGGGGGGGGGCATTGAGAATGTCTACCCAAGGGAGTGGTCTGTCCTGTCGGGAACAGTAGAGGGGGAGGCTTATACGGACTCTGAGCGGGGAGAGAGCACAAAGCAAAGGGCAATTAGGCAAGAAGGAAATGAGTAGACAGCTGTTTTTCCATTTTCAGGAGGAATGAAGCCTTTGCAGGGAAGAGTGGGAGGGAAGGTAATTCCTATTTTGTTTTTCAGCAAAGTCATTCCAGCCCATTCAAGTGTCTCCTATGAACTCCCTTCCCTCCCCCAGGCAGCAGAGGTTGAGGTGAGGGGAGGCACAGCTCCCCGCTGCACCCAAGAGAGACCTGGTGTCACAAAGAGATAAGGCCTGGGGGCCCCACCCACTTGCCTGGGATTCCTGGCTTCTAAGTCTGTGTGAAGTCTACCAGTGAATGAAGGAGAGAAGGAAGAAAAGTGTTCCCTGGAAGGCAGTGCTTTTCAAGTCTTACTATGCACTGCAATCACCTGAGGTCCCTGTTAAAATGCAGATTCTGATTCAGAAGCTCTGGCCTGGGGCCTGAGATCTTGCATTTCTCGCAAGTTGTCAAAGTGCTTCCTATGCTGCTGGTCATGGTCTGGGGAAACATACCTTAAATTTTGAGCCCTCTGCCCTTAGCTGCTAGTGTAAAGCCTGGCACAAAGCATGCTTCTTAACAACTATGTCAAATGAATGAATAGATGAATGAAAGAGTGAGCTGACAAGCAGGACCTTTTGCTACTTAAGTCACCACAGATGCTTCTTAAAATACAGATTCCCAACCCCTTCCCTTAAATTTCTAAGTCAGTATGTCTGCGGTGGGATGAGGTATTTGCGTTTTAAATATTGCATTGCACCCCTTAGGTGATTTCTCCCATCAGGCCTGTTTGAGAAACACTGGTCTCATGAGAAGATGGGGACTCTTAGGTCTGAGTCCAAAATGCATGAAGATGCTCAAAGGAAAAAGTCAGGGACCCGGGGGTAGGGGTGAAGAGATCTTAAGGCCATGGGTTCAGTGGGGCGGGGTGGTGGGGGAGGTCCGAGCCTTTGAGGCACCTGCTGAGGGAGATCAGGGCTTGCCCAGGACTCAGGGCCTTTGGGGGTGGGGGACCAGGACGCCGAGGGCTTCGGTGTCTCACCACTTGAAGACGAGGTTGAGCCACTCGGTGATGAGGCTGATCCAGAGCACTGCGATGCCCACGCGGCGGGAGGCGTAGTAGGCCGCGGGGAAGTAGAACAGAAAGAGGCTCTTGGGATCGCCCAGAAAGGTGACCCAGAGCCACACGTTTTCCAGCCAAGGCAGCTGGTTCTGCAGCGCCTCGGCCATTGCGATGCCCGCGCCCAGCGTGGACTCCATGGCGACCGAGGGACCGGCCGGGCGGGGGTTTGCTCTATGGTGGAAGCCGAGGAGTGTCGGAGACGCGTCGGAGACGCCTCGGAGACGAGGGTGCTGCTCTCCCCGCTGCCGTCCAAAAGCCCACCTTTCGGAGCCCTAGGCCCCGCCCCCTGCCAGCGACCGGCACAAGCTCCGCCCCTCCCCCGTCCCCCCCCTCCCCCCTCCCCCGGTAGTCCCTGACTCGCGCGAGCCCGGCCTCTAGCCGGTACCGTTTCCTCTGGTGTTCCACCCGGGTCTTCCTTTCTACTGGGCAGCGCAGGGGACAAATCTTTGCGAAGGCGTTTCCGTAAAGCCCCACGTGGCTGCTGTTGCCGGCACGTGGGCATTGGGCGCAGAGTCGGCTCCCGCTGCTGTTCCGGGTCAAGGGAAGGACTAACCTGCGGGTGGGCGACGTGCCCAGGGTTCTTGCTTTGCTACTGCGAAGATGGATGTGTAATCTCCAAGGTCAGGATTCCTTCCAGACCAGACCTCTTTTCTCCAGTATCGCTGCCCTCCAAAGATACTCTGAGATTTCTTGGAGAGAGCGCTACGGAGACTCCTCCGAGGAGCCAGGCATCTCCGGTCGGCGCTGAAGCGGGGCTCTACATTTTCAGACACCGTTAATCGGCCCTTGCCTTTCTCCCCCAGCCCAAGAATCTCCCGCCCGAATTCGTCCGCTATTGATTTGGAAGCTGACAGATAAGCCTCTTGATTCTGAGGCGTCTAACCTAAACGCTTGCGAATTCTTACACATAGCAAGCAGTCCAAGTCTCACTTCCACTTCTAAGCTTGCCTTACCTCCCTCCTTGCCTTCCAAAACCCCGCTGGGCAGGTAAACCATGAGGTAGTAGCTGGGTTGGTATGGGAAGAGGAAGGGCACACACCCACGGCAAAATCTGGAATAATCCTCTCTGGGAACACACACGAAATAGAATCCTCACCTATTCTAGGTGAGGTCCTGCCTAGAGGCAGAGTTGGGGTGGGAGGAGACTGTTGAGTGGCTCCCCAGTTCCTTCCCACCTCAAGCAACTTTGTTCCTTGGGTGAATGAAAATGAGAATGTAAATATGGTTCTTCTTGGGGAGAAATTAATTTCACTAATTGAAAAGGTGTGGGGAACGGAAGCTGGATATAAACGTCACTTCACTCCCTTGCTGTTTTTCATTTGTCCCAAGGAGAAAGCCTACATTTTCTAGGTCTTTGAAAGTTTGCCCAGGTTCTAGCCAGACAACCTTTACCAGCCTACCCCCACAACTCCATTTCATAATATTTCTGAGCTACTTTATGTTCCTTGAAATCCACAGGCTCTGTCTCCTTTTAGAGATCTTGCATGTCCTTCAGGTCTCAGATTTTTTCACTTTCTCCAGGAAGCTTTCCCTAACAGTACCTGGCAGTCATATATATGAAAACTATAATCACAATGCCATATAAAAAGTGGAGCAGCAGTTACAAGTGACTTGTGGGGGTCAGAGTTGAAAGTTCTCCGAAATACCACAACTAAGAGGCATCAGTATATTTATTCCTATTAAATGATTGGACTAATATATGCCCAACGTCAGGAAGTTGATGTCTCTTGAAGGGCAAGGAAACACTTTCGAACTGTGTTCAAGTTAAGTAGTGCCAGGGCTGGTCTTTGCCTCCACCTAGAGAAAGTTCAACCTACTGTTACTCATATATGAGGCTCCAGAATTTCTAGGGGGGTGGTGGGGGTGGGATGTGGGCAGGTAGGTGGGTTAGGGATGGAAACTGGTCGTGACAGGGCTGGAAAATACACTTAACGTGTTAAAACTGTCACAGATCAGAATGGACACTAGTAGGGGGAGGGGCAAAACTCCTGCCCCAAGGCCATCTTTGTAATTCCTGCCCTTTGCCTGGCTTTCTAGAGAGGGCAAGAAGGGAGATGGGGAAGCATCTTGAGTTCCAAGGGTGATGGGTGATCATGGAGGATCATTTATTAAAGACCTACTACATGCCATTCATTTGTACACATTATGTCACTTAACCTAACGACTCTAGAAGGTATTATCTAATACAGTAAAGCATCAAATAGAACCATCTTGGGGAACAGGTAGACCGAATTCTTTTTGGTTGTGCGACCCTGGCCAAGTTTAGTCTAAGACTTCAGTTTCTTCATCTGTAAAAGGAAGATGTTGATTCCTACCTCAAAAGATCGTTGGATCATCAGTAAGTGATAATACAGAAGAAATAAAGATACAGGGTCAGGTTTAGTAATTTTCTCAAGGTCATAGAATTTAATAAAGTGGCAGACCTGGGATCCCAATCCCAGTTTAGCTAATCCTATAGCCAGTGTTCTTTCCACTGCCACTTTGTAACTGGGTATAATCATTCTGAGCAAATTTCCTTAAGTCCCCCGGGTCTGGGATTCCTCATATGTAAAATACAGAGTTCATTCATTAAACTCTTGTGTCAACGTGGGCACATAATGGAGACTGCAGCTCCCTCCACCTTCCCCTTCTCATTCAACGTAGGTTATTCATCTTTAACTTCTAAAATGGACTCTGCAAGCACTTTACCAAGCGGGCGCACTCGCACAAACACTCAGATTCTCCTTTATTTCCTCTTCTTTCCTTTTCCACCTAGGCTCCCGCCCCACCCAGCGCCAGGCCACGCCCTGGCGTGTGACGTCAGCACGCCTCGTGCGTCGCGTCGCGGCGCTCACTGGGGGCCCGGCTTTCGCCCGCTGCTGCCGCCGCCGCCGCCGGCCGCGGCTGCTCTCCCAAGATGGCGGCTCCTCCGGGCGAGTACTTCAGCGTTGGGAGCCAGGTGTCGTGCCGGACGTGCCAGGAGCAGCGGCTGCAGGGCGAGGTGGTAGCCTTCGACTACCAGTCCAAAATGCTGGCTTTAAGTATCCTTCGCTGCGCGGAGCCCGAGGCCGGGCCGGCGTGTATGTGCGGTGGTGGGGGGGTGGGGGACGACGGCGGCGGCTGGGGCCCTCTCCGGGCCTAGGGGCGACCGGCTACCGCGGCGCCCGGAGCGCATGCGCACGGCCCTGAGCTCCCCTCCCCCTCTTCGTGTGTCCCTCGGTCCGCTTTGGGGACCCTGTCTCCCACCCCTTGTGGGAGCTGGGCCCCGAGCGAGGGTCAGTGGGTGGAGGGGGGCTTGACACGCGGATGCTTTTTGGGGGGAAACGCTATGAGAGGGGACACAGTCATCAGGAGAGAGGGTGGTCGTGGGAGGGGGCTGGTGGATTGGAGCCCGGATGGAAGGGGGGCGGGTAGGATCATGTGGGGAGGGGGTGTGTAGAGTAAGGATCTGCTAGTGGGGCAAGGCTATGGAGTTTACGAGGGGGTGTCTCCTGGTGGGATTTAGTCCAAGGAAGGGCGGTGGGGTGGTGATCAAATGGGCCTTGCCTGCTTTGGGGAAGACTAACTGCAGGACAGTTTGTATTTGAAATGGGGATAGGGGCTTGTTTTGCTGGTGCGTGTGTATGCGGGGTGCTGTTGGGGGCGGGGAGTACTGAATTAGGTTCCTCAGTCATTTGAAGATTGCTGTTTTGAGGATGTTTGCACTGGAAACCTGGTCCAGAGAGAAGACCACGTTTTTTAGGGGCTTATGTGGGGTTGTGTGGGTTACAGGTGAAAGAGTAAGTTAATCTTCTCTTGCTCAGCCCAGCACATGGAGTCCTGACTTTTCCATAGTAGTTGCCTCCCCTTTGGGAAGTGGCGGTGTTAAACAGAATGGAAGAGAAGGCCTGCTTCTTTGGGGGTGGAAATGATTTCTGAGTTACTCCAGGAAACTCAGTCTTGGAAACAAAATACTTCCTGGTTGTAATAAATGTGCCACCCTTTCCCCTTCTTTTTAAGCCACAGGTGGGTTTATTTGGATTTTTTTTTTTTTTTTTTTTTTGAGGCGTAATCCTTTATGGCATCTTTCAAAAGGAAGTTTCCTACTGAGTGCTGCATTTGAGTGGCAAGTATTTTAATTTATTTAACCACTAGTTGTAGATTTCCAGTTTAGGAAGATGTCCTCTGAACATCTTTTTTTTTTTTTTTTTTTTTTTTTAAAATAAAAAAACACAGACCTAGATCCTGTGAGACCTTTTACATTAGTGGAAGGGTTTTGGAATGAGGAATTACTTTTAATTGGCATGTGATATGCTCTTGATAAATAGTCGGAGGATGGGTGCGTGAATGAATGAATGGATACATAAACAAGTGGGTTAACTGGCTGGGTCACCTTGAGTGACCCTCATTCCCAGTGCTGTAGTTTTCTCTTCTGCAGAATGGGAAATCTGAAATCTAAAAAAGTGAAAAGAGCAGTATCTAGATATAAGACCTATTATACCAGGAACAGAAAGTACCGCCTCTCCTGTGTGATTCCTTAGGTTCAAGAAAAACTATATATACAGCATTAAGCCTCCATACGACCAGTAGAGAGGTGACAGAAACCCTTTCTGAGGCTTCCAATTTTAGATAATACTTGGCTTTGAAAAGCTTGAGATCTTTTGGTTCTGGGGTTTTGAGCGGGTGGAAGGTGACAGGCAGAGATTTCCTGAGGAGAGCTGTGATTCTTGTGAGGCTCCCCTGCCCCCCTCTTGCTCGTGACATACCTTTTACACCAGCCTTGTGTGAGTTGTGTTCTCCATGCCCCTATTTTCCTTAACTTTATTTTCTCACCAGAATGTCCCTCTTCCAGTGGAAAGCCCAACCATGCAGACATCTTGCTCATAAACTTACAGTATGTTTCAGAAGTGGAAATAATTAATGACCGAACAGAAACCCCTCCTCCCCTAGCTTCACTCAATGTTAGTAAGGTAAGGACTTGAGGGCAGTTCTGGCTCTTTAAAATGGTGGGAAAAATTGAGACTCATTGACCCCTGGTGGTACATACGTTGTCCATTGTTTTTCACGTTTTCATTGACTTAACGGTTTGTTCTGATAACCTTTTTGAAGAAACACCAATTTAAGTTTTCTTTTTATTCCTGCATGCCTTAAAAAAATTTAAGAAACCTTTTAATGCCCAAATAAAGAAATAAAGTTGCAAGCTTGCTTTTGTCCTTTGTGAAAGAGGGCTTTTTTTTTTTTTTTTTTTTTTTTAAACCTGGAGTCCATGTGCGAACTTTTGGTGTTTGTGGGGTTGGGTAGGGGCGTTGCCTGTGAACCTCCTGAAATTGTGTGTATGTGTGTATGTGGTTTTGGGTGAACACATGGAGTATTTTGGAGATTCTCAATTCATGACATACAAAAAATTGAAAACTACTGCCTTCAAGCTTCATTTTTGTCTTTATGTTTGCATTTTGAGGTCTGATAAAATTAGAGGCTTAGGATATTTTAATCTTGGATGTACGTACTGATATCTGGGAACCCTCAAATCACTTTTTTTGACTCTTCCCTTCTATCAGCCAGAGTTCACGTATTGTAATAATAATACCACTCCATGCCTTGTAGTCTTTGCTGTCCTTGTATTTGGAATGCTCTTTCTTCCAGAGTGTCTGGAGCCTCATCCTTCAGGACTTAGTTAAATGGCACCTCTTCTGAGAAGTCTTCTCTGATCACAGAGGCTAAAGGAATTTGCCCCCATTCTCTTTACAGTACCTTATCTTCCAGAGTTCAGGTGACATAGCATTTATAGTCCAACTTGGAACATTTTTGAGAGGAAAGCAGAGTGCTTTTGTTTTACACTGAGACAAGCATAGATCAGTGTATCCTGGGCAAATTGGAACTTTAAGGTTACCTATTCGTAGTCTTTGTATAATTATAATTGTGTGTCATTTGTTTACTTTTTTATCTCACCAAACTTTGTTCTGTGAGGATGGGAACCATACCTGTTTTGCTCATGGCTGAATATACAGAGCCTTGCACAGGATAGGTGCTTAATATTCTTTGAATAAATAAGTAAGACCTTTGATTTTAATAGCAGCTGCCTTTCCTTTAGTCTCTTGAATTCGTATGGTGGAAGTTTTTCCCTCTAGAGGAGTCTTGTAATAATGTATATTCTCTTACCTCTCTTGGGAATGTGGTGTGTTGGCTACAATTCAGCAAAGCAAGGAAACACTCAGGCAGCTGAAACAATAGAGGGTAACTGAGGCTGGCAGAATATACTTACCTCAGATTGGGAGCTCCCTTTCAGGTTCCAGAGAAATGCCACTCGTTTTTTTAGTGATGGCTGAGGACAGATTCAGAAAGGTCTTGGGTTCCGTATTAAAGGCTATTGCATATAGAACGTCCCAGTCTTGGGTGCCTGGGTGGCTCAGTCAGTTAAGTGTCCGACTCCTGATTTTGGCTCAGGTCATGATCTCTCGGTTCGTGGGTTCGAGCCCTGTGTTGGGCTCTGCACTGATAGTGTGGAGCTTGCTTGGAATTGTCTCTCTCTCTTTCTCTCTCCTTAAAAATGAATAAATAAACATAAAAAAATATTTCCATTCTTAGAAACTTGTAGATTTTTGAAACCCTGGCTTAGGTACCTTCTAGAGTGTAGGAGTTTTTTGCATCGTCTTCTTTTGGCTGAAGAGATTTTAAAAGATTCAAGTGAAATAGTTTATTCCTCATATGTTGAAAATAGGCTCTGAGTTAGTTTTTATAGGGTAGGAGAAGTCTGTCACTAAATAACTAAATCTTTAGTGAGTAGTAGAGGAAAGGTTATCTGAAAGGGATGATTTTCTCTAATGTAAAACATAATAAGTTTCTGCTCTTGTGACCAGTAAGTGCCACCATTTATCTGAGAGGGCTTGGAGTGTTATGGGTGGGACTGTTAAAGGTTACTCTCTTATGTTTGACCTCAAATAGAAATAGTTCTTGGTTATTTAATTTTGCAGATAATCTTTACCTTTGGGGTTTTGCTTTCTGCTGCTCAGTTTTAGCTTATTAGCATTGTTGTAAACTAGTTGTTTACCCACTCTTTCAAGAAAGTGGTTGTGTCATAGGTTGGGGAATATCAGAAATTTTTACTTTTCTTTGTGGCCTGCTTGCCAAGTCTTGAAAAGGGTTTGTTTTCTGGGGAGAGGAGTCAAACTAAAAACTAAAATTAGGTTGGAGGGCTATCTTTGGATTTCATTTATTCCCTCTTTCATTTGCAGAGATGTTTATGAGTAAGCTTATATTGGCTTTCTGAAACCCAGCGTTTGAGGATGCTTTGCGATTCCTCCCTGGATTCAGTTAGAAGAGCCTTCTGCACTGTTATTGAAAACTTAATCTGGGCAGCTGTTTACCTATTGATTGAATGCCATGGAAAGTTCATCCCATGGAAGAGCATGGACTTGGGTTTTTTTCTAAAGATGGAGGATTGTTTAAGCATGTTAGAACTAAAGTGCTCAGAGATCCCTGGAAGAAAACTTGCTGCTCACAGTGTGGGGAAGCACCACCTGTGTGTACCACTTCCAGTGGAAGATACCGTCACATGTTGGCTCATGTTGCTGACATAGTAAGCGCTCTGTTTAATCCTGTTGATATAAAATGGGTATTTGTTTACTCTGACCCAGCAGGAACTGGAAGAGAAGGTCCTTCAATAAAAGAAAATACTTAATTCCAGCCCAACTAGAGAAGGTACGAACTAGCAGTTCTTAGAGATGAGCCTGTTTTGTTTTCAGTTGACAGTGTACTGCAGGCTAAGAAGTCCTGTGTCTACAGGGATGTGGGATGTGAGAGGCAGCTTGGAAGAGGACAGTGGGGTTGCTGAAGTTCATGAGTATCACTCGATCTACTCCACGGTACTGTTGTACTTTTAAAGTGTTCTGAGTGTCCTGACTATAAGACAGAAGCATTTCAGCAAAAATACAAAAGCACATCAAAGCCAGTCATAAGTGAGGTTCAGATTACTCACTATGTGGCTTATTAGTTTATTCCGTCATGAGGAACTTAAATACTGCTTTAGGGTGAGAAGAACCCTAGGGTCCCTGTGGCAGAATGAAGTTGGGTGTTTCTTAACAAGTTCTTTTGCATTGACTCACCATCTTGTTTCCTGGGGATGAAGACTGCCCATGGATTAGTAGTGCTCTCAGGAGATGATTTGGGACATGTCAACATTAACAAGGGTCTCTTTTATGTAGCATTATAAAACATTTCCTGAAATCTGTTTTGTGTAGGTGTTGTGGTAAGCTCTGTCGGGGACCACATTTATTTTTCTAGAGCTTTACAGATTACAAAGAGCTTTGACACCTCTCATTTCATTCTCACCACCACCATGTGATCTTTGTAGTATATTCTTTTCCTTTTCATTTAACAGGCTTATTAGTTTAAGTGACTTGTCTAGGTTATATGGCCAGTAGTGTGGGAGCTCATGTTTTTATGTGCCATTCTCTGAATTAGCAATTGGTAGATGTCTCATTTAATGCTAACGATAGTTCTTATGGTGTGGCTACCATCACCATCTTAGAGAAGAGTAAACTGGAGGCTCAGAGAAAATGAGTCACTAGCTCAGTGTCCTGCAACTTGTGATGGAGCTGGCATTTGAACTCGGGTCTAATATTTTGACTGCGAAGTCCCATGTTAAGTAACGTTTCTACGTAGAGAGAACCTCTGTATTGTGTGGTCAGGAGGAGTGCGGTCTAGTAGAAAAAACGGGCTACATGGGTAAGTCTTTAAAAGTCACTTCTCTGCCTCTTAACCTTACTGAACATCAGTTTTCTCATGATAAAAATGGGATAATGTTAGTGTCTGTCTCATAGAGTTGTTATGGGGATTAGGTCACGTTGACTGGAATTGGCAAATGTTAGTTCTGTTCTTTTGTATTAGCTTTGTGTAGCCAACTGATGTTCCTTGAATTATGGCATGGGTGCAAGATGGGGAAAAAGGGGCAGTATGACAGCGGGAAGGCAGCTAAGAACATGAATGCCATTGCTATGTCATTCTAGCCTGGATTTGGTCTGACATTCATTCAGATATCCAAACTTGCCAAGCCAGGACTGGGGAAAATCAAAATTGTATTGAATACCATTAATATGTAATGTAGTTAAAACGTGTTTTTAAGAGATGTCTTCTTGGTGACCAGAATTAACTTGAACTTCCAGAGCAGTGTTATCAGGTGGCATAGTTAAGTGAACACTTGGCCGAGTACTGGAGTTTAGAGTGAGCAGTCACACAGCGAAGGAGGCTGTGCTTTTTTAGCCTCTGAGATTCCTGGGAAAGAACTCACCGACACAGCCAAGGCACGTGTATGTATTTGTTTAAATAAATCATCTGCATTGAATGAGATGTAAGTTCTCACTTTGCTGAGTCGGAGAAGACTTTCTTGAGATAGTTGTATGTTGTGGGGGGAGGCAGGGAAAGTGACAAAACATCAAAAATTGAAATCCACAGTTAAGGTGTCCACCTCCCTTACCAGACCACTGACTAATTTTTTAGCTTCTTTTATCCATTTATTACCCATTTATACCTTACTAACAAGCAGTGAGTTATCTGATGCAACCAGGAAGAAGAAAGAGATTGAAAGGGCTTATCATTAGCCCTTGGTAATGAAGAATGAGTTGGCTGCCTTTGAATAAGAAGGGTATTTGGATATTGGTGGTGATTGTGGGGAGGTCTGGAAAGAAAGGCTGAGAAAATGGAAGAGTCACAAAGTTGACTTTTTAAAAAAACTGACCTCGGGGACCTTGGATGGCTCAGTTGGATAAGCATCCTACTTTGGCTCAGGTCATGATCTCAGGGTTCGTGAGTTCGAGCCCCGTGTTGGGCTCTGTGCTGACAGCTCAGTGCCTGGATCCTGCATCCGATTCTGTGTATCCCTCCCTCCCGCTGTCTCTCTCCCCCTCCCCCCCCCCCCCGCCCTTTCCGATTCTGCGTATCTCTCTCTCTCTGCCCCTCTCCCGCTTGTACTCTG